CGGTCCAGGTCCGCGGACCGGCGGTTGGTGACCCCTGATCTAGAGGAGTCAAAAACTATCACGAGTGCTTCATGAAGCTTCGTTTGTCCATCACTACCGATTGGTGGATTTTGGGGAAAACCAATTCTCTGTACGTTTTTTTTTTTTTTTTTTTTTACTCAGGCCAGATCTCTGTCCAATAAAAATAGTTTGGTGTTGCCTTGCAGCATCTTAGTGCCACGGAACTATGCTGAGGTCAGTTAAGGAGCTTCTTGTCATCTATTTCCGCCATCTCGTGGCCACTTGATGCCAAGAAGATATTTTGATGTACGTTGGTGAAGCTCCATGTAATGCTTTCCCGCCATCTTGTGGCATCTCGGCACCATGGAACTCCGTTCACGTACCGTACGTTATCTAGCTATGTTCGGGAGCTCAATGGCATCTCCAGGCAATCACAGTGGTACCCTGCTTTCCGAGTTGAAGTTGTTCCGCGACCGTGCTTGTCACTCGCTTCACCAATGTTTCAAAACGTTGATCCCCATTGGAATTAATTGAAATGCTATGAATCCGTTCCAGTCCCCCCAAAATCTATTTGACAAACATGCTTGGTGTGTAAATGAAAATCGATTTGAATGGGAAAACGCAAAATTGGTTTGGACTTAGAAGATATGAGCACATCAAATTGAACTAGATGGTTCCGCTTTTAAATGGATCATATCGCAACCCACTTCTCAAGGTGTGCATTGAATTGCCTTTTAACTGGAGGGATGCACACCTCGAAATATACTCAACAAGGATGTAAATGAAGTGGTTTCCAGAAAGTCTCACTAAGCTGAAAGTCACACCCTGTCGAATTCCTGTGCACACCTGCGCCTTGAAAGCGCTCCGGTTAGTATTTACGATGCGTTTAGGTTAGCTTCGTGTTAGTATCAGCTGTGAGTGTTTTCAATTTGTATTTACGTGTTTGACTATGAGTAATACGATACAATTCAACTTTATTGATATCTCGCTTTCACACTAATGGTCAATAAAGCGCTGGAGGTTCATCAAACAATTGTCGGTCCCCACCCCAACCCACCACCCACCACCCTCACCCAACGTAACTCGAGTACCGGCATATGTGAAGCTTGTTTGTCATTTTAATGTTCTAGCGCCAAGTGAGTGAATGACTTGGATTTTGCCGATTTTTGCTCTTGGCGGCAGGGCTTGGGGGCGGCGGGGCGGTCTCTACCTATGCTACTATATGTTGTAGGCGAGAAGCAATTGCTGTCATATCATCGATCACATCCTGACCTGAGTGTCTGTGTAGATCGTCTGGCATCCAGGTCGCGGTCGGCATCGGCAAAAGTTGAACTGGGGCATCTGGACTCTTCTGGGTCAACAAGCCAGAAAAGTCCAGTCGCCTCCATTCAACTTTGGTTTTTGTTTGAACAAGCGATGAGTCCAGTCGCTTCGACCACGTCCTGAGACGTCCACTCCTTCTTCCTTCACAGTATGTCAATCAAGAAGTGCTACACATTTGAATGCTGGAAAACAAATCAATAAATAAATCAAATCCAGTCCCGCTTTGTTGTTACCCCTCGTGCTGATCTTCGTCCCCTCTCAGACCATCATGGGAGTGTCCGAGAAGACGGAGCTGATGGACTCGGCAACGGACTTCTTCCTGGTTCCTTTCATCAGCGAGCGAGCCTCGGCGTCGGCCTCCTCGTCATCCTGGTCTCCGTCGGGGTTCAACTTGCCATTCTGGCCCCGCGCTTCCTTGGCGTCGGTGAAGACCACGTGCCTGTTGAGCGCCGAGGGGTCCCCCCCGTGGGTGGGCGTCACGCTGAGCACCGACGAGCGGATGCTGTCGTCGCCCCGGGCTTTGCCCTTGCCGGGGCAGCAGAAGCAGCGGCACGGGGTCAGATAGAGGTAGACCAGAACCAGGACCACGCTGGCCAGGCAGCCCACCAAGGTGGTGTAGGCGGTGTTGAGGGTCTCGCCGCTGCCGTGCATGGTGAAGTTGTGGACCTTCAGCACCACGTAGATGGTCTCGTTGAAGGCCTCGCTGGTGGCGAAGCAGGTGTAGGTTCCCGAGTCCTCGGAGCGGACCGGACTGACCCGCAGGCTGCCGTCCGGCAAGACTTTGGCCGTCTGGTTTCCATCCGGAGTCAGCGGAGAGGGCCCGGGAAGCGTCCAGGTCTTGAGCATGTTCCTGTGCTTGGTGTCACAGCCCAGGGTCAGCGTTTGCTCCAGAAAGGCTTCCTCCTCCGCCTCCCTGAAGGTGCTGCAGTTCATGCTGTCGCCGGTCAGGTCAAACACGTCCATCTGAATCTTCTGCGTGCCCGGCAGCACGCAAGTGAAATCGTCTCTGAAGTCCACCACCGAGTTGAGCTTGCGGAGGTCCCAGTGGGCGACCAGCGAGTAGAGGTCACAGTGACACGCCAGCGGGTTCTTGTGGAAATACAGGCCGTTTTTCAACCAGGCGGGCAACATTCGCATTTCGTCCAGAGGAAGCTTTTTGATCTTGTTGGACGACACGTCCAGCAGACTGAGCTTCTCCAGGCGGGACTTCTCCCTGATGAGCTCCACTGGGAATCGGGAGATGTGGTTGTGGCTCAGGTAGAGCTTCTGCAGGTTGAGCGTGGTGATGAAAGCCGAGTGGTCGATTTGGGTGATTTTGTTGCTGTACAACAGTAGAATCTCCAAGTTGACCAGCGGCTCAAAGACAAACTCGTCCAGCTGCTGCAGACTGTTGGAGGACAGGTCCAGATAGCGCAGATACTTGACGTTCACGAAGGCCTCGGAAGATAGGAAGAGCATACTGTTGTGGCTCAGGAGCAGGTTGTGGAGTTTGGGGAGCTTCACCGGGGTCCAATCCGACTTCAGCCTCACGATCTCATTGTAGCTGAGGTCCAGCACGGCCATGTAGAGCGGCAGCCCCGCCGGGACGCTGCTCAGGTTCATCTTGGAGCAGCTCAGGATGTTGGAGGCACAGATGCAGGGTGCCACCGACGCCCCGCCCGGAGGCCACAGGAGGCCCAGCCACACGGCCAGCGACAGGGTCCGTGCCAAGCGCTCGCTCCGCGACGGCTCTTTTCTGCTGGACGGCTGCGACATGCTGCGCGGCTGCCGATCGATTTCTGCAACCGGAGGACTGGGCCGGGGTCTCAATCGCAGAGAACGGTCGCTGGAGAAGTCCGGGACATTGCTTAGTGCGGCTGAAAAGGTGGGAAGCAAACAGAATATCTTCAGTAGACATTTTCGGTGCAGTTTGTTTTTTTTTATGACAAAAAGTTGTTGTTTTGTTTTTGTTTTTTTTTGGGGGGGGGGGTCATATTGAAGAGGTTTTACATTTGTACAGCATTGGTCCCCAACCGCGGGTCCAGGCACCGGTACCGGGCTTCGGCCCGTTTGGGACCGGGCCGCGCGGAGATAGACCTGCGAACTGTGAGCAACTTTACTGTGTTCTTTTATTTAATTCTACATTTGTTGCACAGTAGAATAACGCCGTTTGAAAGGAATGAACATTAATCAAATCTTCAATGACGCTTATCATTGTTGTCAGTACCAGTGCTTTAAAAGTGGTCATTTTAAAGCACTGAATAAATGCGCTTGGATTAAAGAAATGATTTTCCTCTTTTTAAATTTTATTTCAAATGGAAAAAAATATATTTGTTAGGAGCTAAAAAAAAATACACCTTAATCAGGACTGCGGATAATTATATGAAGGGGCACTTAGAATCAATGCAGTGTACCCAAACTTTATTGTGCACATTGCAGGTGAAGATCATCAGAGCTATTTTGTTTTGACCGGAACAGCTCGCCGAGCGCATGCTAGCGTGCCGCCTCGAGCAAAAACTAACATTAGCTTTGATATCCATCACAGTAATTGTAATTGGAATCATAATAAAGTCAATATAAAGAGCACCAATATATATGTAGCCCCCCCCCCCCCACCAAACAAAAAAAATGGATTTTTTTTATAAA